CTACTCTATTAAACGTCATAATTAGTATTCTCTGTAGTATATGCTGGAAATTCTACTCTATTAAACGTCATAATTAGTATTCTCTGTAGTATATGCTGGAAATTCTACTTTATTAAACGTCATAATTAGTATTCTCTGTAGTATATGCTAGAAATTCTACTCTATTAAACGTCACAATTTGTATTATCTGCAGTATATGCTGGAAATCCTACCCTATTAAACGTCACAATTTGTATTATCTGCAGTATATGCTGGAAATTCTACCCTATTAAACGTCATAATTAGTATACTCTGTAGTATATGCTGGAAATTCTACCCTATTAAACGTCATAATTAGTATACTCTGTAGTATATGCTGGAAATTCTCCTCTATTAAACGTCATAATTAGTATTCTCCGTAGTATATGCTAGAAATTCTACTCTATTAAACGTCACAATTAGTATTATCTGTAGCATATGCTGGAAATCTTACCCTATTAAACGTCACAATTAGTATTATCTGCAGTATATGCTGGAAATCCTACCGTATTAAGCGTCATAATTAGTATTATCTGTAGTATATGCTGGAAATCCTACCCTATTAAGCGTCATAATTAGTATTATCTGTAGTATATGCTGGAAATCCTACTCTATTAAACGTCATAATTAGTATTATCTGTAGTATATGCTGGAAATTCTACTCTATTAAACGTCACAATTACATTTTGATAACTATTACAATCTATATGTCTTTACCTATTCTTGTTTACTACTTGTAATTTTATATTACAACTTGAATTTGTAATTTATGTTGAATGTACGAAACTACCAGGGTTTGTATGATTGTTATACACACTTTCATGTGTGCACATACTATAAATAATTTCATTTGAACTTTTAAGTTCACTTGTATTCTCAAACATTTATGGTGAGTCTTCATCAGTATGTCCTATAGGTAAGTTCTTTGTATCTCTCTCTGTAACAAGAATCATTATTAAAATATTAGAATAACAGATACCAGAAATTATGTTGTAACTTAAGTTATTATTAATAGATTCCAATGATATAAGTTGTGTTCCAATGTGAGTTATTATAACATATATATATATATGTATGTATATATATATGTAGTGGATTTTATTAAACTTGTCAAAAAATAATTCTTTATTAGTAAATCTCAATAACAAATGACAAAAATTATCATAATAAAACGAGTGATTATCAGAAAATACAAATAGCAAATTAATACTAGATCGTACAATAGATTCTAGAGATCCTGATATACAATGACTCAATTATAGATGCTAGAAAAATTTTTCAGGCAATTAAATCAATGTTGTTTTTTTCTTCAATGAAAATAAAATATTTATTAACCTCTTAATAATCATTTTTATAGGTTGACTTTGGTTTTTCGAAACTATTAATCAACGGACAAAAAACGTGGACTTTTTGTGGTACTCCAGAGTACGTGGCTCCAGAAATAATATTGAACAAAGGTCATGACAAGGCTGTTGACTATTGGTCAATTGGAATTTTGATGTACGAACTCTTCACAGGAATGTGAGTACTACTTTTATTGGACGTTTTATTACTCACTGGAATATATTTATAGTAAACTAAAAAAGTATGTAATTCAAGGAATAGAAGTATAGAAAAACTGATCATGTTTCCAATAGAAATTCCATAACGTCATGAAATATACATGTAAGTTCTACCTGGAGCGTACGATTATAATTTATATTTGAAGAACTTTGTGAAGCTTGATTAGTTTAGAATTGTTATTCATCTCCATCTTACTGCAATAAATTTTATTCCAAAACATATTAACTTTAGTATAGATACAAATTACACAGGCCTGCGAATTTAAACTTCATGGAAGTTGTTTTGGTTTTAATAAAGGATTTTCCATAATTCAGCTACGTAGATTTCGAAAATAATATTCATTTTTTTTCATCACGTAAGAATGTTTTACAAATCGGAAAGAAAAAAAAAACAACTTACTTAAATCAAATTATTATTTCGTTTACCACAATGA